GTTTCTCCTTAGAATGATGCGAGGGGTCCATCCGCACCCCCACCCCCCGGGCGTGCGGCTCTCCGCTGCCCTGCGCCGAGCTTCCCTAGCGGACGCGTCCCGCCTCCTTACCTCCCGACTGGACGGTCGGGACGGTGAGAGCGGCCCGCAGCCTCTGCCTGCAAGTGCTCGGCGCCCCGCAGCGCAGATTCCGGGGCTGATCCCGCTGCGCCCACTTTGTAGATGCGGTGACCGAGGCTCAGGTGCAGTAACCCGCCCGTGGCGGCCGGCTCAGCGATAGAATCCAGTCGAACCAGACTTCTGGGCCCGAACAGGAGAAACTCCACCCACAGGCCGCGCCCCAAGCCCCTTGTGGCCGGGACACCGCAACCCTAGAGCCGGATGCAGCGCGTTCCTCTCGTTCTGGGCATAATCTGGAGTCCCGGCCGAGCCGCCTCCGGGACCGGCAGTGAGGAGGGTGGGAGCTGGTGCGGTCCCGCCTTCGGGAGCCGACGGCCCTGCGGGGGAGAGACGTGCACACCGGGATTTAGGAGCGATTTGGGGAAGCGAGTGCTAGATTAAGAGGTGAAGAAACTGCGGCAGGATTAACGGGGGTGGGGAGGGCAGGAGAGCAGCCAGGTAAACAGACTTGACCTTTCAGTGAAAGAAGGGGGGCGGGGCTGATGCTTAGGAGCACTTAACCGCCTGCCTGGGACTGTTCTAAGCGGTTGGGGTGCTTAGGTCTCCTTTCGGCTCCCCCCGGGGGGCCAGGAAGCAGGTACTGTTATCTTCAGGGGGTAAATAGCTCGCCGGAGGCCAAAGAGCTAAAAGGCAAGCGTGCTGGCTCCCGGTGCCCTGCGGTCACGCAGGCGGAGCGGGCTTACTCTTTAGGAGACTGTAGAGGAGATTTCCAGCTGAAGAGGGGGTGGGTCTGACCTGGGCCTGGGCTGAGTGGGCACTGGGAAGGGGGGGCGGGGGGGCAAGCGCAGGGGCGCGGGGCGGGGGCTTGATGTGGAGAAAAGTAGTGAGCAGCCCAAAGTGTCCACTGCTTAGGGGTTGACGGGATCAGATGGGGTGCTGGGTTCCAGAGGAAGACGAGACCTTGGCATTGGCCTCAGTGGCCCAGGAGTGCCAAGTGACACTGTTCTACAGGTCACTACTAATCATTCGGGGCTCTGGATGAAAAAGGGAAATGCTTCCATTTTTCTTTTTTTTTTTTTTTTTTCAGTGGAGATGGTCCAGGCCCTAAGAGATTTAAGTGATTTGCCCAAGGTCACAGAGCTAGAGGCTGGTGGGTCAGGGGCAGGGCTAGACTGCCCTCATACCCTCCGGTCCACGGACCTTCCACTGACCACGCTGCTGCCCAGCTGCCCTCCGGGAGAGGATTTCAGGCCCTGGATCACTGGAAGTTCACAGAGGTGCTGGCAGCCCGGGTGTGGGGCAGTGGTGAGGAAGGAGGACTCCCGAGTTACCTTATTACTGTTACGAATATTAATCAGGAACTGCTTCTGTGCTGGGCACCTTTATATACATGATCTCACTTAATCCTTGGGAGTTTTACTGGTGTCAGAGTTTGAATGATGCCCTCCTTTGGGGTGGGAGGGGGAAAATGACCTGATGTCAGCTGTCTTTTCCTGATCCCAGTGTGATGTCTGAGGGCCTGGAGATTAAAGTTCACTGTGTGTGCAGGACAGGTGGGGCTGAGGGTAGGATGGCATGTGCTGTTTCTCCAGACAGCGTGATGTCTGAGGTCAAAAGGCCTCTGGGTGCTGCATTCTTGTGACTTGTTGCCTGCGTCTGGGGTTTTCCCATCCTAGAAATTTATCAACCTGTAGGGAGTTATAACCTCCGGGTGCCTTCATGGCTACTCTTTCCTGCAGGGATCACTAACTCCTGCTACAAAATGTAACTACGGAACGGTAGATGAGAAAATAAGGGTCAAGGAGGTTAAGAAACCTCGCAAAGACAAACACCTTTATGGTTTGTAGTCACAGAGATTTCAAAGTTCCCTTGGTTTGTTTCTTAGTAGAGCCGTTCTTTCCTAATGAAAT